GGAAGGAAAGGGAAAGTTATTATAATAGGAATGGATGGGGTGTAGAAAGAGTTAAAGAGGGAATGGAAGGAGGGTGGGATATGGAGGGAGAGATAGTAAAAAGAGAAAGAGACGTGCAAAAACAGTGGATAGAAAGTAAGATTAGGGAGGCGAAATATAATAAAAGGTATAAAGATATAAGGAAAATAGGGGAGGGACATAAGTATTTGGAAAAGAGCAGTTTGATAAGGATGGGATCAAAGGCGGGGGGAGAAGTGAGGGCGCTTATTAAGCTAAGGTGTGGTAATCTGGAGTTAAAAAATAAGTATTGGTTAGAGGAGGAAGAGAGAAGGTGTGTAATGTGTGGGAAGGAGCAAGATGAGATGAATCATTATATGTATACATGTGAGTGGGGAAAGAGATGGTTCGAGGAGATGGATAGTATGGAAGGTAGGGGAAAAGAAAGGATATGGGATGATGAAATCGATGAGATTAAAGGGAAAGTGTTAAAAAGAATGTGGAGGGAAAGGGAGGGTAAAATCAAAGAAAAAGAAAGAGAAGGAGAAAAAGAAAAAGGATAAAGTGAAAAGGGGTAAAGGAAAGAATAAAGAGAGAGGAGAATTTAAATGTGGTGTAGATATAGGAAAGTATGGAAGAATGGAGGATGTGTGGAATGTGTGATTTAGTTGTTTTTATGTAAACCAAGTCCCCTTCTTGGCTATCTATTTAATGTATATAGCTGAATGGTAATAAATATATATATAACAAATTCTATCTTTAAAGTTCTTTGCACTATATTTATGTTCTATGTTTCAGGACCAAAGTATATATTGTACATAGATACATACATATATATATATATATATATATATATATATATATATATATATATATACACACTCATATACAATGTTTATAAACAATAAATCATAAATCCTACAGGCATAGAATTTACATGTAGTCTAGTATATGTTAATATATTACAACACTAAGATAAATATATCTAAATCGAAAGCATTGATAATCCAAGTAAAATTTAAAGGAAACATTCGAATTATAAGTTAATGTAATATTTTAATATAACAAAGAGAGAAATTGAATAAAAGGCTCTATAACCTTTAAAGAATTAAAACACAATAGCCTTATATAGCCAAATATAACATTTGTGTATTGTACTGTGCTTTAAATTATTTCACATTTAGATAAAAATTATTTATTTTTCATTATATATCTACAAATTGCCTTCAATTCTATAGGTTTTTTGTGCAACTTGCTTTCTTTTTTATATTTTTACATAACCTAAAACACCAAATGTTATGCTTACCCAAAAGTTCCTTGGCCAATTTTAGCGACTTTCTCATATTTTGAGGATTCATCACAATGCGGGAATTCGAATTCCTCAATATACTTTTCTTTTTCCTTTGTATTCATTGTCACTTTGTAAATATTATTTTTTAACTACTTAATCGAACTCTATAACAATCTGTAAGTAACACATGGATAAATTTAATGTGTCAATTTAACTGTTACACATACAAAAGATAAACAACAACGTTTAATCGAAAGCAACATAGTCCATGGCAATATAGCTTTATATTCGACGTAACATTATATTTAATATTTTTCTAGTTTTTACTTCTCGCGTGATACAAACAGAAAGAAGATATCTTAATGGCTTGTTCATCCTTACCCTCAAGTATCAGAATCGTTAAAGGTCCGTCTGCAATGGATCAACCGGTAGTGAATAGTACTCGCATAACAGCTTCTTCTTTTTCTTACATATGACCCGGAATTCCTATTCTACCAAGCTGGGCTGCGTTCTGAAACGTCACTCGAGTACTCTCCCTCTCTTTTTATCTCACTCTTATATTTCACTCACTTTAACGGCTATCATCTAGTAGTGTAGTACACATAGTGTGTATTTCCGAACGCAGCCCTGGAGTGCGTTAATCGAGAGGAACAGCCATGGAAGAATGCTCAATGTGACGTACTACATGTGGGTGTGCCTACATATGTTGTACAAAATGGCTGATCGAAAGCGTATTTCGACATTAGCTATAATTGCTTCTCAGCAAAATAATAATAAATTAATAAATTTAGTAATTAATTAATTAATTAATTTAGTAATTATTAATTTATAATTTAGTTATCTGGAAAGTTAATTGGTTATATATTCCTCGGTCCGAGAACTCGGATCGATTTCTAGCATCGTGAGCACCAGGCCTAGGGAAATTTATAAACTTATTTATTACTCCTTACCTTTAACATTGTATATATAGACATTTCCCTTGTCATCCTTTTGTATATTTTTTTTAATATCCATGCATAAAATATGACGATCCGGAATTAAATTTTCCATTTTTTTTCACAAATTGTTACTGATTCGTGACTTTTAACGTGCCTCGTATTTCGTAAGAAAATTTCAGAACCTATAAAATACAAAAAGCTTAATAAGCTTTATTTATATTTAAAGACAATATTTTGACAATGGCTGCGTTCCGATATTCACTACCAATACTGAAACAGTACAGTTCATGTCGCGTACACTATAGATTTTCAGTACTAGCAGCGAATATAGGAACGCAGCCAATATACATCACTATAGAAATAAACCTAAACCAGGCTAACCTACACTGCTGTATTTAAATTTTTTATCTTACCGTGATGGCTAATGGTTGTACGAATGTTTCGAAGAACAAAAAACCATAAATAATTTAGTAATTTCATACTAGGTTTGTTCTTTCGACCTGACCTAAGGCTGCACTGGAACTGTACTAATTGAAGAAAGTTCAAGAAAGTGCAGACCAGTGCAAAGATACATATGGGTCTGAAAAGAACGGGTAAGAGCAAGTTAAAGCAGTGTAAGATAGCGGACAACATGGCTGGATTAAATAACATAGATCAATTTATGGCCATGTTTTCGCACTTATAGCATTTTATGTTTTGTTGAACAATCCTATTTCTTTTAAAAACTGTTTTGTGTTGGATACCCATACAACAAATCCCTCCGAAAAAACGTCCAAGAGCCTTCCCAGGATGTCTTTCGG